CAATCTAGCAAGCAACCAATCTAGCAAGGAAGCAATCTAGCAAACAACCAATCAAGAAATCTTTGACCTGATAATGAAACGCTTTTTATTTCTACTTAAAAAGTGAGAAATTTGACACAGAAACAAGAGATAATCAAAAGGTTTTCAAAAGAAAGTGAGAACGATCTACCGAAATGAGAAAAGGGGGTGTCACTCAGAAATGAGATGACACAACATTACAGAGATCTCTCTCAAAAAGACTGAAAATCTAGAAAATTTATGTAGTGGAACAGTGAGGGAAATGTACTTTGATAGGTGGGTGATTTTGATGAAAAAACACCGGGAGAAAGTGAGTGATTTGGGCGACAATGCCTGGGGAAACGAGTGGAGTGAATGGGGAACACCCATGCTTTGACTTAGTGTCGATATTGAGCTCAAGTGATCAGAAATGAAGAATGGTTATTGAAAGGTGCATTTGGAAGTGTTCTTCCTAGCCCGGGATGTTTCAGCATTGCTCCAAAGACTGATCAGGGTTGTACCGAAGATTGTACTGGACCAGAATGACTGTCTACAATACTATCAAATGTTTTCGAGAGTTGGAAAGCGATAAAGACCGTTCAAGAAGTTCAGGAAGTGGCCGTCCACCCGTCCACCGGTCCAAGTGGACGTCCACTGCAGTCACTCCAGAGAACATCAACAAGCTTCATTGTCGAATTCGACGAAATCCTTTACGCTCGATAAGAAGTCAGCCAGAAGTCAGCTTTGAATCTGGTCGGCTCAACCCGCTCAAGCTCAACCCGCTCAAGCTCAACCCGCTCAAGCTCAACCCGCTCAAGCTCAACCCGCTCAAGCTCAACCCGCTCAAGCTCAACCCGCTCAAGCTCAACCCGCTCAAGCTCAACCCGCTCAAGCTCAACCCGCTCAAGCTCAACCCGCTCAAGCTCAACCCGCTCAAGCTCAACCCGCTCAAGCTCAAGCCGCTCAAGCTCAAGCCGCTCAAGCTCAAGCCGCTCAAGCTCAAGCCGCTCAAGCTCAAGCCGCTCAAGCTCAAGCCGCTCAAGCTCAAGCCGCTCAAGCTCAAGCCGCTCAAGCTCAAGCCGCTCAAGCTCAAGCCGCTCAAGCTCAAGCCGCTCAAGCCTAAATTACAAATGATAAGCCCGGTTGGAACTTTCCCAGACTTTCTCAGACTTGGCTCGAAAAAGCCGAGCAAGCTAGAAACAGGTTTTTTTGACAAAAAGAAAAACTAAATATTTATGTCGTTAGTTTTAACTGTTTTTAAAGACGAGATTAGCGTTAAGTCACAAAAACTAAACCTGTTGTTTGGGGTTTTTTGAAAGTTGTTGTTTCATCAAGCGATTCGATCAAAGATACTTTATTTCTCAAATGATTTTGTTGAAAATGAATATATTTAGCTTTGCTTTGGTGAATTAATAAAGTCATTAAGGGTTTTTTGAATTGAAAATTATGAAATTTGTTATTATGAAATTGTTTGAAAAGGAAAAATTCTTCCCAACTGTTGTCTCTTGTCTGTTGAAAATTGATTTGACATCACCACAAAGAGGTGTCATATGTTAATAAGAAAATGTTTTCAAAAGATTATTGACTGAATTTTTGTGTTAGAAGCAAAGGAAATGTGGTATCAAAGGAAAAGTGATGCCAAGCAAATTACCGTATTTTCTCTAATAGTAGTGCACCCCGGTGAGCCGAGTTGGTGACTATTTTACAGTTCCCAAGCTTTTGCAGAAGCTCAACACTCTAATCCCCCACTAGATCTCATCGTCAGCTACATTTTCCGACCCCACATCGATAGGTTCTGATAAGCGGTTCTCGAGATTTCGAGCAATTTAGGTGAAGATTAGAGTGCACTACTATTAGAGAGAATACGGTATTCTGTATTTTCTCTAATTGTAGTGCCCTCTCCCCCTCCCTCGGGCCGAGCCGAGTTGGTGACTATTTTACAGTTCCCAAGCTTTTGCAGAAGCTCAACACTCTAATCCCCCACTAGATCTCATCGTCAGCTACATTTTCCGACCCCACATCGATAGGGTCTGATAAGCGGTTTCCGAGATCTCGAGCTCGATATTAAAAACCCATGAATCAAAGCTTTTTAAGACTTAAAGCTTTTAAAAATTAAAGCTTTTTTACTTGTAAAAAATGAGTGCAGCTTTTCTTATAATCGGATCGTACCGGAAAAGTATACGCAAATGGACTATGGGTTCACTGAGACAAGAAAGTGAAATCACTTATGGAAAACTCAATCTCTAGTATCTGTGAAAAACTGTAAGAAACAATGTTTATAGTAGAAAGCTGAAAAGCTAAAGCCTTCATTAGGTCTTGAATTCCCTTTGAAAGGGTATTGAAAGTATTAGTTGAGAAAAATAGGAAAGGACTTTTAATATCAAAAAAGGTCTTGAATCTTATTAAAGGAAAAAGGTTGGAACACAAGTGAAAAAGATTTTTCATCCATGGCGAGAAAGACTTTGACTTTAAAAACGCATGGCAAAAATAGTTAAAAGCAAACATCAAAAGGAAAAGCAAACATAAACAAATATAAAGCTAAAGTATGCTAAATTGAAGTACTAGTTTTAGTTGGCAAGATTGATAAATATATTAAGTCTAGTTGTAAGACCTAACCTAAGTTAAGCTGTAAGGCCTAACCTAAGTTAAGCTGTAAGGCCTAACCTAAGTTAAGCTGACCTAAGTTAGACCTAAGTTAAGCTGACCTTAGTTAGACCTAAGTTAAGCTGACCTAAGTTAGACCTAAGTTAAGCTGACCTAAGTTAGATCTAAGTTATGCTGACTTAAGTTAGACCTAAGTTACGTTGACCTAAGTTAGACCTAAGTTAGACCTAAGTTAAGCTGACCTAGGTTAGACCTAAGTTAGACCTAAGTTAAGCTGACCTAAGTTAGACCTAAGTTAAGCTGACCTAAGTTAGATCTAAGTTATGCTGACTTAAGTTAGACCTAAGTTAAGCTGACCTAAGTTAGACCTAAGTTAAGTTGACCTAAGTTAGACCTAAGTTAAGCTGACCTAAGTAAGTTGTAAGTTGGTTTTACTTTTAAGTTATGAAGTGGTTTGATAAAAGGAGTAATCAAAACAGAACGACAACAAGATCGCAGAAGAAAAGATCAAGTTCTCAGCTTTCACACGTTTCTATGACGGTCATTCAAAGTTAAAAGATTAAAGGAAAAAGGCATTCCTAAGTGGGCAGATTCAATGGCATCTCCTTTCCCTCACCAATCAACACTCAAAAATTCTTTCAGCCAAAAGACAAAGATATCAATTGAGTCTATCTGATAGTGTTGATTTTGACGGTCTATTTGGAAAGGATGAAAAGGCCAAGCTGGTTTTTCTTTGAGTCCTTTTCTCTTTGGATAATGCGCGCCCGACGAGACCGATTACGATAGATTACGGGAAATCGAGAGACTGGTTTGGGGATGGCCGGGAAATTTGAGAGTTTTTGTGAAGATGATTGGGATATCATTGTAGGAAATCAGAGTCTAGTTATCACCCTAACCAGAGTGGTCAAAATTTGTATTACTCAGTAATATAACACTCAGTAATATAACACTATTCAGTAAGTTGCAAATCAAATCATAAAAAGATAATAAAGATATTCAGTCTTTCTTGTTGTCACAAAGAGTTCAGTAGACTGACTTTCAAACTGTTTCTAATAGATAAAAATTAATGGATTGGCAAGGCATGTAAGCTTATATTAGGTACATGCATAAGAAATGCGGATTTCAACATTTTCATATTTCATTTCCAACGATCGAAACCTGAATGTTATAAACTATTTGAAAGTTGTAAATCTCCTCTACAAAATAGGCTAAAACGTCTTTCAATTGATCGAGCCATTGAAGCAATTTCGAGGGCGAAATGCGAGTGACCAAAAAAGGAATCGAGTCACTTTAGGGACAAGTTTAGTGTGGTCAAAATAGAGTTAGCTTTCCCAAAATTGAAGATTTTAAAAAAGGATAACTATATACAGTACTGGACAATGAAATATGAATGTACTGGACAATCATATTTGAAAAAAGATCGTCACTTTCACGGGTCTGTAACTCCCTTGTCTTTGAGTTTAAACTATTAGTGTTATACATTTTCTGAAAGCTCTTTTCAAGGGCTACACAATGGTAATATTAATATTTAGAAATACGGTAAAGACAAGGGAGTTACAGACGCGCGAAAGTGACGATCTTTTTTCAAATATGATAGGAGGCCGAAATGCGAGTGACCAAAAAAGGAATCGAGTCACTTTAGGGACAAGTTTAGTGTGGTCAAAATAGAGTTAGCTTTCCCAAAATTGAAGATTTAAAAAAAAATAGGATAACTATATATCTGTCGTAGCCGATTATGAATGAAAGTAGCTTTTTCTAGAAATTTGTCGTCAAATGCAAAGTCGTCAAATGCAACCCCAATTCCCCCAGTTCGAGTACGGATCGGCAACTTTCCCATTTCTACCCAGAATTTAAATGTTTTGAACCGTAATACGTTACTAGTTACTACTTGTTAATCATACTTTATACTTCTGTAACAGATTACTTTGTTTAAAAAATAAAGGAACAGTTAAGAAAATAAAATAATCTAACTCAATTCATTATTAAAGCAACGTAAATTGAATTGAATTTGAAAAAATGAGAAAAGCCTAGCGATTTCGCAGGCATTTGACCCTTTGGGTTACGGTGCTTTGCTCACATTTTAGCGCGCAGACCCTCAAATCTTCGGGCGCTTATTTCTCTTTTGTGAGTGCTCAGAATTTTTTGATTTTTTGCCAATTTCTTAGTTGGAGTGCACGCAATATTTCATAGGATTTAGATTTTTGATCTGTCAGTTTTTTACTCAGGCTCGCACTTGTAGTGCCTCTCCCCCCTGCCCCCCGTTAAGCTACAAGATCTTGATGCTTGACAACTTTTTGGAAAGTCTTTAATCAACTGGAATGCAGAAATGCAATTCAGGAATGCAAAAGCTCAAAAGAAAGCAATCAAAGACAAAATGATAAGCTTTAAAATCGACTTACCACTAACAAGAAGCCATCCTTCAAAGTTCTCCGGTTGTTCAACATCGAGAGTTTCATTTCGATCCTCGAAAAGTGAAGTTAAATACATGGTCGATCGATTATTTCTTCATCGTAGCTAAATTTTAATTTTATTGAAGAGAAGATTCTTTTGAAAGACTTTGAAAGACAAAAAACAAAAAAAAACGAAAGATTTACAATTTTTGTTTACGTTCAGTTGATGGATGAGAAAAAAATGAATTTCTGGATGTTGAAAAAATGGGTTCAGGAATGCAAAAACATCAGAAATCAAAATAGCAATTTTAAGATTTATATGTTACGTTCAATTTTGAAAATTGTCCAACTTTGAAACCTTTTTAATAGGAAAATATTTTTGCATTAGATCGCTAGCTCTGGTTCGAGCTCTAGTTCTGGTTCGAGCGCTAGTTCTGGTTCGAGCGCTAGTTCGGATTCGAGCGCTAGTTCTGGTTCGAGCTCTAGTTCGGATTCGAGCGCTAGTTCTGGTTCGAGCTCTAGTTCTGGTTCGAGCGCTAGCTCTGGTTCGAGCTCTAGTTCTGGTTCGAGCGCTAGTTCTGGTTCGAGCGCTAGTTCGGATTCGAGCGCTAGCTCTGGTTCGAGCTCTAGTTCTGGTTCGAGCGCTAGTTCTGGTTCGAGCGCTAGTTCGGATTCGAGCGCTAGTTCTGGTTCGAGCTCTAGTTCGGATTCGAGCGCTAGTTCTGGTTCGAGCTCTAGTTCTGGTTCGAGCGCTAGCTCTGGTTCGAGCTCTAGTTCTGGTTCGAGCGCTAGTTCTGGTTCGAGCGCTAGTTCGGATTCGAGCGCTAGTTCTGGTTCGAGCTCTAGTTCTGGTTCGAGCGCTAGCTCTGGTTCGAGCTCTAGTTCTGGTTCGAGCGCTAGTTCTGGTTCGAGCGCTAGTTCGGATTCGAGCGCTAGTTCTGGTTCGAGCGCTAGTTCGGATTCAGACACTAGTTCGGATTCGAACTTTTGTTCTGGTTCGAGCGCTAGTTCGGATTCTAATAGAAGACCATCCCCCTGACCCCTTGAAGATCGGAACTTTTTGAAACTTCTTTTTAGGTAGAATGGTAGATTTAGGTCCAGCTAGAAGTATTTTAGCCTCGACAATCAAATTGAAAACATGATTTTTAAAAAAATTGAAAATTTTTGGAAAGATTCGCTATATGAGGTCCGGGTAGAAAAATAATTTAACTTTTAAACATGTTTTTCGTACGTTTTATGCCAAGGGTTATCGTTTAAAATAGTTTTTAACAATTTTAAGTTTTTGATTCATTTGTGGGAGCTTTATCTACTTTTTGACCGGTCAATTTTAGAAGCATCAAAGTCTTCCAAGAACGAAGGCAGAAGCATCAAAGTCTCCCAAGAACGAAGGCAAAAACCCCAACCCCAAAAAGGGCCAGAAGCTCTGCCAAAAAAACCCTTCCTCCAAATTAAAAGAAATAATTTCAGGAAGAGAGAAAAAAGACGCGAATAATTGCAAAATAGGAACGCAAAAAGGAAGGAAACGGATGCGACCAAGTAGCTGGCTTAAAAATGGGAAAATCGAAAAGCACAGGAAAATTTAAGAGCACTTTTGCAAAAAGAACCGAACTTCTGAGGAAAGTAGAAAATAAATTGTTGAAAAATGGAGATAAAACTGTAATCCAATGAACGTAATGTCCGTAATGTAATAAAGGAAACACAAATTTTAATCAATAATCATCGAAAGACTGAAAGGGATATCGATGTGGGGAAAAGGAGGGTGAAAGGCCCTCTGGTGGTCACCCCGCTTTCCCCCTCTTTCCCTTCTTTGACGAGCCTTCATTCCTTTCAAATCACACAGTCTAACCCTCTCCCTAGCACCGAAAAGGTCTTTCCCCCTTTTCGCTGAAAACTGAACGGTCCAAAAGTGTCGATGTGTGAGTGAAAGGATTTGTTTGGCTCACTCTTTTCCACTCGAAAGTCCCCGAGACACACAGAACTCCTGGGTGCATTCAAAACGTGCTTTGAACCTAAACAAAAACAAAACAAAGCTGACTTCTGCTGAACGTAAGCTGGGTAACAATGACAACTCTTTTTTGGTTAGCTCAGAGAATTTGGTTGAACTTTGGAATACTTTTGAATTGATCAGAGATTAGAGATCAGAGATTTCAGAGATTGATCAAGTAGAGGTAGATCAAGATCAAGTAGATCAAGAAGATCAAGAATCCAAGTAGAAAACTGATACAGTAAATGAATCAATTCAATGAATGAAAGTCAATGAAAGTAAATGAAAGCAAATGAAAGCAAGTGCAAGCAAATGCAAGCAAATACACCAATCAATTAATCAATCAAGGTTGATCGATCAGTCAAGTGATTTTTAAAGTTATTCAGCCAAAGTCGAATTTTCTATCATCACTGGCTAGCTGAAATCAGCTGAAATCAGCTGAAACAAACGCAATTTATGAAAACTTTTTAAAATACAGTACTTACAAGTAAGAAGTTTGCTAAAAGGATAGAATTAGTCAAAGAAAATGCTTATTGTTAATTAAATAAGCTAAAATTGATTATTGATTATTGTATTGAATGATATTTAATAAATTAAATGAGATTATTGATTATTGGATTGGTGAATTGAAAAATGCGGGACTTTGAAACTAAAATTTATTCAACATAAAACTATAAATTCATTCCAAATAATTTCCATTATTATTGACGACTTCTGCCCATTTTACAGGCAATTTGCGGATTCCTCTTTCGTAGTAGGATTTTGGTTTGTGTGTGAGACAAGTGTGAGACTCAAAAATCGAGGACTGGAGACTGGAGAAGGACTCCCAGTTTGAGCACTTTCTTCAAAAGAAACCCATTTTGGTGTGAATAGAAAAGTTGTAGAGAATCAAAAATTAGGCTTATAGCCAAATTTCCAAAAAGATACACTTAGTAGTTTCGCTTAAAATGCAAGTTTTGTTGCAAGTTTTGTGAAAATGCGTAAATTTCGCATTTCTTGAAAACCAGTTTTTGAATCGTTCTGAAAATTTGGATATAAGCTTGATTTTTGATTCTCTACAACTTTTCCATTAACACCAAAATGGGTTTCTTTCGAAGAAAGTGCTCAAACTGTCACATATGACAATAGCCCGCAGTTTTCAATTCACCAACCCAATATTAAATGATATTTAATCAACAGCAAACAGCCTGTGAATCATTTAAACAATTCTAAAGTATATTTAACTTTTAAATAAGTAAAAAACAACAGGAAGTAAGATGGGAATAAGTAAGATGGGAATTAAAAATGTATTTGGGATTGATTTTAAAATTTGTGAATGCTTTAGAAGCAAGAGTAATCAAGAGTAATGATTTGGATCTAGGAATGTTTGTGTTTGATAAGCATGCTTCACCAATCAACCATCTAAAACCATCTAAAACCATCTAAGACCATCCAAGACCTTTTCCTTACCTTTTCCTTACCTTTTTCTTTCAAATGCTTATGAAATCAAAAAGATATTCTAATAAATAATCATAATTTAATAACAGGAAAGAATATTTGCAATGCAATTTCAATGCTAGATCAACTATTGCAAACGTAAACGAAACTAGATTCACCCAGTGTTCAAATACTCAAAGGGTGTGGTGGGCCTTTGAGAAACTCGTCAAATCAAACACCAAATATGGTTCAAATTTTGAAGAGCATTTTGATTTCATGCAGAATAAATAAGAGTATAGAATTTGATATTTAACATAACACACACAAAACAAACTAATGAATCTTTCCGGTTAAAAGAAGTAAAAACTCGACTTTGTTACATCTGAAAGAATTCTTATAACGTAAATTTGATAAAACGAGAAAAGTCCAGTGATTTCGCAGCCATTTGGGTTACGGTGATTTGCCCACATTTTAGCGCGCAGACCCTCAAATCTTCGGGCGCTTATTTCTCTTTTGTGAGTGCTCAGAATTTTTTGATTTTTTGGGAATTTCTTAGCTGGAGTGCACGCAATATTTCAGAAGTTACAGATTTTTGATCCGTCGTTGTACTTTTTTTGAGGGGGGGGAGAGGCAAATGTTTAACGGAGTGCGGCACTTTTTTGTCCAACTTGCAACTCATTTTTAAGCTACTTACACTCATCAGATCAGGAAGTTCTAATAAGATTTAGATAGCTTAGAACGTCAGCTTTCAGAAAATATTTGTTTTATCAAAAGTTACCAACAAAAACCTATTTAAAATCGAGCTGCAAGTTAACCAAAAAAAACCGGAAAGATCCCAACTAATTATAGAGCTACTTACATTTTTTAAAACTAAATAGCGACTTTTGAGAGAAATCAATGTAATTCAGCCTTGGCTAATAGAAAACCTTTGTCCTAAACTTTTCTGTACATTTTCATTTAGAATTCTTGAAAAACAAAAGAAGACAAATCAAGAATGTTTGACATGTTGCACTTTGTGTTCAAAGTTAGAAACGCACGCCTTTTGGCGGATTAAACGAAATCAGACATGGAAAAGTCTTGAAAAGCAAAAAGAGACTAGATAGAGTGACCAGAGATCTTTAATCTCTAGCCACTAGATAGAGTAGATAGTGAACCATTGACCTCTAAGATATTGGACTCTTAGCTCTTAGCCAGTCGGCCATGGCGGCTTAGAAATGTACACTTTCTGGAGCACTAAACTCCCGGTTTACTCAGCAACAATCGAAAGAATCAACAATCGAAAGAATCACTGAAAATGGTATGTTTCCGTTTAAATCCCAAAGTAGAAAATTAGAATTTCAACAGAATTTCCAATAAAAGACAATCGAGCAAGAATCGGGCAAGAGCAAGAATCGCAAAAGGTCTCTTGAGTAATCTTGCATCCACCTTGTTCCTGTGAAATGACTGCGGGATAACCTTGGCATGCAATTATTTGCATACACCCGCGCCCCATCAAGGGGATTTCTTAAGGGGATCTCTCCGCCCCTCATTCCCTCAATTCCTCAATGAAGAGAGAATTCTTTTTCTTTTCACCGCCTTATATTTTCCCATCTTCAGTTTCTCATCTTTCAATTTGTACTTATTGAAGAGAAATTCTAAAGGAGAATGCGTAAAATAGCATTTTCTTTGTAGGGAGCTTTACTTTTGCTTTGCTTTGC